TCAAAATCTAATGTAATAAGGCAGTTTTGAACAAAAACGGTTCCAATTATCTTTATTTTCAATATAATTTGAGATTCTTCAATAAGCGGTCGGTGTATTTTGTCTTCTAAGCAAAGTCTATGGGGAGTAAAATCTTTTTTAGATTCTTTTGCACGGTGAATATTGGCACTATTCTAAAGTTTGAATGGTTTTTGCGACGAACATCAGCCAATCAGACGAATTTATTCCCTTGGCCTAAAACCTAAAGTTAATTCAATAAAATATATATTATAAGATCCCAAGATACTTGGGTTAAAGGCGCGAACATAGCAAATTAGCAGTTAGTTACGTTGTTGATGCAGATCTTACTTAGTTAGGGTTAGAGATAGGTTAGTTATTATTTTAGATAGTGATCTGCATCAATAACGTAACCATTTCCGCTATAGTAAACACCGAATCAAAAGTCGCGTATTATCTTCTTCACCTATGGATCTATGCGGAACGATCAAATTTATTTTAATCAAAAAAGCGCAAGAAGATTCTACTGACCCTACTTCATGGCCTGCTTTGTGTACCGGACTGCTCCAAGAGGTATGCGCGTTAACACTAATCAAAATTAAAAAATTCATGAACTTTTTGATTTTGACTAGTGTAAATAAGATAGTGTCTTGAACAGGTCAATTACCAATACCAGACCCTAATGCATTCTTTCAACTAGGAGACAACAAATTTGGAAGCTATCTCATTACACCTTAATCAATGTATACAGTCTCTGATTGTTTCACCGAATTCGCAACAATCTTGCTTTGACAAAGGAGTTCTTGAACGACCTTTTTACTTAGCTTTAGTCGAAATGCTCTCACTTTGTTTTGAAAATAGTGGCGAATTTCCTCAAAGTTTAAAAACTAGTAAGGTTTTCATGCTTGAAAACACTAATTTACCAAGGTGAGTAACTGTTTTTCATCGTTGTTAAAATCTACTGTTTTTATTCACATTCAAACCCATAAAGTCTAGATTGAACGAAATTGAACAAGAAATGAAACATATAATTAGCTCTTGGAATGGAATTCCTCTTGTATTTGAAGAATTTCATCGTAATTCCCTTAATGATTTTTTTTTTAAGGTAGCTTTTAAGCATTGAGTATTTCTTATAATATAAATAATCGACAAAGACGTAATTATATGTAGTTTTTAACTCCAAGAGACTTAAACACATTCCTTGGCCTTCGTACGACACTCGGATCTGCTGTTCAACTTCCACCATCACTACCAGAATGTCTTGCAGCCTTTACACAACGCTACGTAAAAAAAAACGCAAAGCCAGTTCGCGCATCAATTTCAAATACACTTACGGTTGGAGCCAAGGCGTTTTCTAAACACTGTCATAGAGACACTAGTAGATCTTTTTGGGGTGTTTGTAGTGGATGTAAGTTGATGACTGCTAGGTATGGTAAAGTTTGATTTGGTTTAAAACCTTTAGATTCTATATATTTAAAAATCTATGTAAGAACCGGGTTTTTGAAAACTAGAATCCGAACTTAATCTGCTTTGGCTCAGAACCTAATTCTCAATGTTCAAAATATCTCGTGATTTTTTGATTGGATTTGATAATTTTGATATCATTGAATTCCTTTTAGCCAGATGATTCAAATAATTCTAATATAATCATATAATCTTTAGATATCATATATTTAACTACTATTAAAATATGTAATAAAAGGCTTTTACATTTTAATAGTGGTCGTGACCAATTACATGATTAGATTTGTATCATTTCAATCATCTTACTAAGAGAGATTCAACTATTTTAAATTTTACACTTTTCATATTATTAATCTTAGTTTATATATATATATATATATATTAAAAATCTATTATGAATCTAGAAAATCTTAGTTCTTATATATATATATATATATTAAAAACCTATTATGAACCTAAGGACCTAGGTTCCAAAACCAGGTTTCAAGGTTCTGAATCTAAGAACTTTACCATCCCTAATTATTGCCAAACATATATTTTATGATTATATGAAAATTTTGTTATTTAAATTTTTCATATTAGCTGACGAACAAAAAAACGAGCAAGCTAATAGAGCGCTGGCTAAAATATTGACAAATGCTGCGTGGATTAATTTACATTCACTGCCGGTATAATTAATTAAATATAATATTCATATCTTCTGATCCTAGTATTAATGCTAGTTTTTTCTTTTGTAGCATAACACATGTGTTTTTGAAGTTCGTAATCTCGATGGATATGGTGCACGTTGGGAAATTCGCGAGCCCCAATGCCAACAATTGCAATCACAATTACAAACGGATTCAAGTTGCACCACAAACTCTTT